TCATGTTATGATCATGGTGATTGTGACGACGATGGCGATGACGAGGGCGTTGCTGATGATGAGGATGATGGTGATGATGGTGACAGTGGTGGTGGTTGGTGCTGGTGGTCGGTGCAGGTTATGATGGTGGGCGTATGTGATGGTGAAGATAACCAGGAGGATGAGGAGTGGAGGAGGAGGAGGAGGAGGAGGAGGAGGAGGAGGAGGAGGAGGAGGAGGTGGAGAAGTAGCAGGGGGACGAGTGTAGGGAGAAGAATAATCAGAGCAACAGGCAGGAGCAGGCAGCCGCCTCAAGCGGACTTTCAACGGGGGGCCTGGGATGATGGAGCCCTCGTCGCGACCACCACTTCTCCATCTCGCCTCCCGCGGCTCAAGCCCGACGACTCGGCGTAGCTGCCACCAGCGCTGGCCGCTGCACTCGGCTCGTTCGCGGGTGCGTGGGCCAGGGGCATGGACGACGAGGAAGTCGAGGACGCCGCGGGCCCCGTGGTGGACGAAGCGGGCGGCGGCAGGCACCCCAGGGGGAGAGGAGGAGGAGGAGGAGGAGGAGGAGGAGGAGGAGGAGGAAAAGGAGGAGGAGAAAGGAGGAGAGGAAAAGGAGGAGAAAGGAGGAAGGAGGAGGAGGAGGAAAAGGAGGAGGAGGAGGTTGACGAAGAGGAGGGGGAGGAGGAGGAGGAGGAGGAGGAGGAGGAGGAGGAGGAGGCAGAGGAGGAGGAGGAGGAGGAGGAAAAGGAGGAGGAGGAAATGGAGGAGGAGGAAAAGGAGGAGGAGGAGGAGGACCAGCGTAAACCCAAGGCGCATGAACGATGTTGCAAAGCACCATCCGTCCAAGCTCCCTCTTAATAGGTCCCTGTAGGAATTGATGCTCATTGCTGGAAGTGCCATTTTGGAAGACAACCTTCTGAGACTCCTCCATAGTGCCAAGTCACGATTCCCGGCATTTCAGCGCCGCAAATGAACGTGACCGTTGCGTCCTGACAATTCCAAATCGTGCCAAAATGATTTTCCATGGAATTCGATAACGCGCATCAGCGTGACTGTTGCGTCCTGTCAAGCGTAAACAGTGCCGGAACACCATTCCTGGTCTTTCAGCCATACGAACCTTTGAACCTGTTGTGGACTGTCAAAGAGAATGTGCGCGCGGCGCTAAGGCGAGAACCACGTTTTGGAAAAGAAACGCCCTCCATCCTTGAAGCGATTGCGAACATGTGAGACGAACGTGCGCGGCGCTGAGGCGAGAGTCACATTTCGAAAACGACTCGCCCTTCACCCGTGAGCCTGCTGCAACTTGTTAAGACGAATGTGCGCGGCGCTAAGGTGAGAGCGCCAGTTCGAAAACGACCTTCCATCCGTCCGTGAAGCAGGTGCAAATTTCAAGTTTCAGGGTCATACATGGTGAGGACCTCCGAGGCGAAACGCCCAGCCCACGTTATAGGCACAGTGCGGAGTTGTGCATAAGTGCAGACTTGGGGTGGGGGGTGGACGATGGAAAGAAGAATGGCGCACGCGGACCGACAGCGTGCGGTTCGGTTAGCTAACTGTTCTGCGGCGAGCGGTGCTCGATGTCTGGTTCCCCTCCCGCCCCATGCAAGACTTTCTTGACAGCAGGCTAGGTATCGCCAGGAGCCTCTCTGATGAATCTATGAGCCTAACATGTCAGCGCATGATCATTGCATTCTAGGTGTGCGACGCACGCTGTCACTCATCTCGTGTGCCTCTGGATATTTCTGCGTGTGCTCGTGCCGCTCGGGCACAGCTGCTACAGCAGGCTGAGACGTGCAACTGAGGGACTACGTTAGTCATGCGTGCGAGGAGGAGGAGGAGGAGGAGGAGGAGGAGGAAGTGGGATGAGGCGGTC